TTTTGTTTTCATCTGGATACAAAATTCCTGTGAATCTCATTCCCTTGAGAGCTGTTGTGTAAGGTTTGGAAATCAGACCGTGGTCTTGCCTAGTCCTTTGCACAGCATGCTTAAAACGTGGGCCTCAGTGACTGTGATTTGATTGCATGCCTGATAGCCTCCATTTCTTCCAACACTGAATAAAGATCAGAAAATTGTTGACTGCAGCTCTTGTCTGTGAATAAACCCAAATGCCTGTGGGCATTCAGATTGAATCGTGCACTTAGCACATGAGCTCCCTTCAGTGACACACGTCCAGCCAATGTGCTGATAGTGCTAACGGCCAACTGCCTCCCTCAGTCTGAGCTAGCTTACAGAATGATCACTACAAAGCGCAGTCTCTCTGCTTTTGTAGGGTTCTCAGTGTTAAAGTGAAATGTCCAGCATTTCTTGCACACATCTATCATGTGAGCTTTGCATGCTGAGTATTAGTGACAGCACCCACGGAGCTTAGAAGTGCTGCAGGCATACACACATGTCATGACAATCACTCCTCTACCTGATAGTTCATACAGAGTTGTGCCAGGAGTTCCACTGCTTTCCCTAGGCTTGGCTACACCCTTCCATTGACCTCATGATTCATTTTACAAGCTTTTAAAATAATAACATATAATTTGTTCCCGCTTTTGCTAGGAGGTATGGAACCTTGAGTAATGCCGCTTCTCCATTGTTAGTGACAAAATAAATCAGTTTCATACTAGAAAATATTATTTTGTAACTGTTCTGGGAAAAGAAAAAGGCAAAACAGAATGACTTCTCTTCAGAACCCAAGAGCCTATGTCACTACCATGGAACTGTCCTTGAGGACTTCCATAGCCTTGAGCCAGATTTTATTGTGTTTGTTTTGTTGCCAGCTCTGTCCCCTTACATCAAACAGTTGGCAGGCTTTCAAATCTTCAGGCCTTAGTTATATTCTGCTACTCAACTGGCTGTGTGACCTTGAGAAAGTTACTTCACCTCTCTGGGCTGGCCTTTATTTTTATCAGGTCTATTTTATCAGGCTATTTTATGTGACTAAATTTAATGGACTTTTTGTTTGCTTTAAATGTGTGATTTCAGTTCACTTTTCTCATCATAAAATATGGTTTTATAAGCATAGCCATCAATTACGTTAAAAAATATAAGATTTTTAGAGAGGAAAAATTTTAAAATCTGTCATGTCATGAATAAATCATTGAACAAAAAAGAGACTGATGAAAGGCAGCGACATTTCTCACTAAATGTTGCCTTTCAGATTGTTAAAATGAACATTTTATTTTTTATTTGAAATTCTCTAAGAAATACTGTCTTTTAGTCATCTAGTATTACTTTCAACATTACAGGCAGCTCCCCAGTGTTCAGATGAGAAACCATTCTAAATTCTGACAAGAACAGTGTGGCTCATCTTCCTCTTGGCTGTGAATCCTTGCCAGTGCCTTGGATTTATCATTCATGTGTGGTCAGACCGCAGAGTGTCCTCAACGCTGTTTCCTCCTATTCCCAGTTTTGCATCTTTCAGTTTTGTTAAAACAACAACAAAGTTGTGTCCCTTTCTCTAGTTCTCAACTTTCCTTCCTGCATTATCAATATTCTCTCCCTGCTGTCTGTCCTCCTCCTGTCTGTCCTCCTTCTGCTTTTTCCTCAGCCGTGTGTGTGTGTGTGTGTGTGTGTGTGTGTGTGTGTGTGTGCGCGCACACACGCGCGGTGCTTTAAAGTGAGCTGAGCGATTTCAAGGCAGGGAACAGGAGGGAGGCACACAACACTTGCTAAATACAATCTGCTGGAAAACAGAGGAGATGTGAGAAGCAGGCTGGGAGAGTTAGACACACACATGACATTTTATTTTTATAGAAATAAAATATCCCTGAGAAATCATTCATTCTTGCCATTTCATGTTTGGGTTTTATCCTCTTTAAAGTTTTTCCTTGGAAGCTTCCAAAATGATCTGTGAATGTAAGAAAGTTTTCAACAACATTTTACAAGCCAATTCATAAGTACTTTTAAAATGGTTCCATGTTCATATTAAAAAAAAAAAGCATGCATCAAAGTGTGGATGACTGAGTGAACCACGGAACCTGTGTGTGCTGGAATACATTGCAGCTGTGAGCAGGAGTGGCCAGTCTCTGTGAGCTGGCCAGGGTGTCTCCAGGAGACAGAAGTGCAGAATGCTGCAGGGAGAAGAGCAATGTAGTCTGTGGATTTTTGCCTGAGAAAGAAGGGAAAATAAGAAAAACATGCACATAACTTCTTTGCAAAAAAGAAACTCAAGAAGGAAAAGACAGAAGGCAGTGAAGTTGGGTACCTTCAAGAGGTGAGGTGGAGTGGGGTTGTGTGAGGTAGGGTTTTAACACTTGGAAGCTATCTGTACATTAAAAAAATGAAAATATCTTCTGAACTAAAAGCAAATTTAAACAAGTGAACTCAACTGTATTTTAGTTGGATTCCATTACATGACAGCATTAAATGGAGAGAAAACGAATCCAGTTGGTTTATATACAATTTAAACTACATACCTACGCCACTCTTCGATGACATAGGACTGAGGGGAAACAACACATGAATCTTGAACTCTAGGTTTGATGACTGTGGCATGTGAATAAAACAGTTCTGAAACTGTAAGGTCCATACTGTAGATTTAGTAAAGAAGGAAATGGGAGGACCTCACTAGAGGGAAAGTACAGAATGGTTGAAGGAAGGCAGAACAAGCATTGTGGGGTTAGATTAGAATCACACATATTGGTTTAAACTTAGCATTTATAAAATATGTGTATCTATGTGTGTGTATGTATAGGTGCATTTTGCAGGCTACTATATATATAGCGAAGAAATTGGACAATACTGTGTCCCTCAGTATCTCCGAGGGACATCATGTACCTCTGGGTGTGATATTCTGAGAAGCACATGTCACTCGTGTAGTATTCTGGCAAAAGACATATAACCCAAACCTAATTGCGGGAAAGCGATGGACAAATCCAAAATGTGGAACATTGTAACTGAAAACTCAGAGGAAGGAAAAGACAATATTCTTAAAAAAAAAAAAAAGTCAGTGCTATAAACAACAAAGACATGCTATTGGAAAATATTCCAGACTAAGGGAAACTAAAGAGACTTTCTAACTAAATACAGTGTCTAATCCTAGACTGGCTGTGTTTTGCAGACTTGGGGGGGGGATGTTGGAAAAATGGACAGAAGTGGATTATGAATGGAATGTTAAATTAAAAGTATTGTTTACAGAAGTTGATAATTGAGTTGTTGTTATATAAGACATATTCTATTCTCCAGGAAAATACACTTCTCTTAGGGAATTGTTTTGAAATTTAGAGGTGAAGGGCTCGCAGATGGTTCACACAAAACTACATTGATATCATCTTTCTATGTCTAGGTAGACATAGGAGATAGAAGGAGTGACAATAAATTATAGATCAAAGGAGGTAAAATGTAGCAACAGATGAATCTAGGCAAAGCTGTGCATGTGCTTACTGCACTGTATTGTTCTTGCAGATTTTCTTTAAGTTTGACATTATTTCCAAATGAAAAGACTCTTAAAAAATAAAATTCTAACCTGAAAATAGACACTCAGATGTTATATACTATTAAATAACAAGATAATTAGTGGTTCAAAGGCAGCTCTAGATCGAATAGAACTAGATTCTAGTCATAATTTTCCTTTAGTATAAGTTTATTTTCAATTAAGAATGAATTGACTGGTAATGCTGAATGTGTTCACAAATGTCTGCTCCAAACAAGTGATAATTCAGGAAGGTTGTTGGAAAGAATACCATATTCATTGTTTTTTAAGTGTAAGTATTAAAGAAAACAATGGGAGAAAATTGAAAGTAATATAAAAAGAATTCATTGACAATAGCAATAAACATTAAAAGTTTACCCAGAAATAAATATAACAAAGCATTTTTGAATTCTGTTGAAAATTTGAAGAAAATCCTTGACAAAAAATGATTAGATAACATGGAGAGAGAACAAATTTCTAAATTAGAAAACTCAATATATAAAGATTGATTCAAATAGAAAGGCTTCACATTAGCAAATAAGACTGTGTAAAATAGACAAGTAAGTCAATGAAACAGTATAGAGGGGCCAGAATGGATCCACAAATATATAGAAACTGGGTATCAGAGTTGACTTTGCAGATCACGTCAAGTATGGATGAGTCATAAACCACTTGTTGAATAGTGTATTTTTCTCATGAAAAAAACCAGGCCCCTACCTCACACCATAGAGAAAGCAATTTCAGTTTTACTATAGATTTAAATACTAAGGATGACACTTCAACATTTTGTTTTGAAAACTACTACTGGGTAGCCTGAATCAGGAAGGACTGCATAGATTGCATGGGTAAACTTAACAGGAAATATATTTGACTATATTGAAATTAAAGTCTTTACAGCCAAGTCACTGTACCAGTGAAGAGCCAAGGCACACATTGGAGGTGGGTAAGCCATGTAACCAACCAAGGACAGAAGGAAGAACAGGCGACACAAATAAGTGAGAGGTTCACAGAACACAGGGCTTCACAATTAAACTCTTTCAAAGTATATTAAAATGACCAAATCATCTTTGAGAGCCAATTACATGTAAGAGCAGCCTTCCATATTATTGGGCTTCCAACTATAAAGCTTTTAAAAATTCTATTTTTATTTTTTACACAAATTATAACTTTATATAATTATGGAGAACACAGTATGATATGATCTATTCCATAGTGTGGAATGATTGAATCAAGATAGCTAGCATATCTGTCACCTTAAGTCTATATCATTTATTCCTCCTGTTTAACTACAACTTCATACCCTTTGAACAGTGCTTCCTTCATCCCCTTACCCTAGTCTCTGGTAAACACCTTCCTACTGTCTTGTTTCTTTGGGTTCCATTGTTTTAGAGTCCACATGTAAATGACACGAAATATTTTATATAAAGTTATGAAGAAATATCAATTGCTAATGTTGTATCGTGAAATTCTGTAGGATCAATCCTTTCCGGAGCACGAAAATGGTTTTCAGGTTGGCATGAGATTAGAAGGCATTGATCCCCGACATCCATCTGTATTCTGTGTGCTTTCTGTAGCTGAGGTGAGAGATATGGTTATTTTTTGGGGCTAAGCACATGGTAACAGAATTTTCTAGAGAATAACAAATTTGTATACTTTTGATCATAAACAAGTTCCAGAACATTGTGGATTTATTTTAGTCTTTGATGGGTGAAAATGTTTCTTAATGAATCTTTTTACTTCTGTGAAGATTAAGTTTCTAGTAAGTTTCATCAGCTAGCATTTATTCTTGACTTAATTGGTTAGTGGTTTTCACCTAAGATTGATAACAATTCATGAATCATCACACATTTTTTTTATTAACAGAAGTATAATTATTCACATTTTAGTTGAACTAATGAGAAATGTATATGAATAATATTATTCCTGTTACATATTTATACAAATACATGTATTTTATGAAAATTATGTAAAGTGAAGAGCCAGTGATGAAAGTAAATGGCTTGTAAAATGTAATATTTACTAAACATATTATCAAATCAATAAGAGATGTCTCTATTTCTAATAGCATTCAATGAAGAAGTCACATTCATTTGCTCCACTTGATTGATTGTAGCTATTAAACTTGCACAGCATGTTTAGAGGCTCTATCTGTTTTAATGTCCTCTTTACTGAGTATGCTGTATGCATATAGTAGAGCTAAGGCCGTCCCCATTTTGTTTTGCTCTGTACTGCAGTCTACACTGTCTTGGGATCTGAATCCAAGCCAACAGCGGGAGATAGAGATTCTGAAAGGAATATTGGACAGATGTTGCATTAATAAATAAACTGCTCAATTAAAATACTTAAATTGTGGATCCTTTTTTCCACCTAAACTATTGTTTTTAATTTATTGGTTCTTTTTAGTTATACATGAAAGTAGAATCCATTTTGATGTAATTATAAAGCATGGAATATATCTTGTTCTAATTCAGTGCTAGTACCTTTCCTTCCCCTCCTCTACTCCTGTACCCTGTTCCCTTCCCTCTACTCATCTTTCTGCCATTTACCCATAGTTATTATTTTTAATTAATTTCTTGTGAATGTATACAATGGTGACACTCACATATATATTCATATATGTACATAGGCAAGTAAAAAAAGGCTGTATTTTGCAGAAGGCTATAGGTTCTTAAAGGACAATATCTACTTTATATCACACTTTTAATCAGATGTCATGTATAAATTTGTTCTCTAATGAAAAAATTTGGCTGGAAGCATCAGCTCTTAAATGTTGTTAGCACTCACAAAGTATTTGAATACTTTGATAATTTTGTGTCCATTTTAAATGTATGACACTTAATGAACAATTGCAAACTTTCCTTGCTGCAGGTGTGTGGTTACCGGCTAAGACTTCATTTTGATGGATATTTAAGCTGCTATGATTTCTGGACCAATGCTGGTTCCCCCGACATTCATCCAGTAGGGTGGTGTGAAAAGACCAAGCATGAATTGCACATCCCTAAGGGTAAGCCAGGATGCATTTGCCAATCAAAAAGAGAGTCACTTGATATTTCAGTTTTATTTTTAACAACATTTTATCAAATACTATCAAGAGAATCTGGTATGAAAATTTGATCCCCAAAGAGCACTTAGACCTCAGTTACACCCTCTTTAAAAAGAAGTATCTTCGAAAGAAAATTGTTCATGACTTTTAGGTCAATTATTCTGATAAGGTACATGGGGTAGAAATAAAATATTATGGGAGTATCTGATGGTACATAAGTTTATTCAACATTGAGCAACTAATGTCTAAATCATGGTTGAAATGAAACGTCCCACTATATTAATGGCACTGCAGGGTGAAGAAATTTGAATCATTGTCAATTGTTGCAAACCCCCAAATCATGGAAAACATGGAGCAATGAAAAAAAGTTCAGATCAAGTTTTCTTGTGATGGGAAAATCTCAGCTTTGTCTTTTGTTACCTACTGGAGGAACCCTAGCCAGTTGTTTGTGCCAATGAGTAGAGGTGCAGTCAGTGAGAAGCCCATGGGCCAGTTTCTTTGCATGGCCAACTTCGGCATACAGCCTCCTGCTTGCATGTTAGACTATGAAAGGACTATGGCAACTTCTGGGATATATATATATATGTATATGATATATATATATGTATATATATATCATATATATGTTTTATTCTTGGTAATCGACTCGAGAGTGTCCTTTGGGCTCTGCCTTGGGACCTATGAAAAGTCCGTTGAGATTGCTGAGTTTTAAGAACTGGTGACAGGTTACAGGCTCATTCATCCCATAGATTTTATGGAGTTCTTACTATATGCACATACTGGGGCTGGAACAGTGAGTAAAAACCTCTGTCTCCGTGGATTTTCATTTCAGAGGAGAGGAAGGATTGAGACCAGCCATAAGAAGGCTCTTTTAGATAGTGTGGTGAAGACAAGCCTGTCTTGGGGGGGGGTCCCATAGACACCTGGACAAAATGGGAGAGAAAGCAACTGGGTTCCTGAGGAAGAGCATCAAGCAGGGAAAGAACAGAGCAGATGCCCCGGGGTAGAGTAGACTTGTTTAGGATGAGGAGTCTCAGGGAGACAAGTGGAGAAGCAAGTCAAAAAGGGAGGAGATAGAGACGCCTTAGCCTTGAAGACTGTTTAGGAGTTCAATTTGTAGATTCAGTATGATGGTCCCTTGGAAAATACTGAGCCTGCATTGTTTGTGCAGTGCTGTTTGAGCCGACTTAGGGCATATGAATGGAAGACAAGGCATTTCTAGTGGGAACATTGTACAAATAAGGTACAGAAAGTTAGAATTGTCAAAAATAGTCTTTGGATTTTGAAGAGTTTCGTAATTTCCCTCAAGTGTCGGCTTCTTGGATCCAGCATCATTGAGATCTCTTATGGTCTTTGTGACATGGCTTCCTCAGGGGTGGGGACAACACTGGTACTCTTGTCTTATCTTTTTACCTATTCTGGAAACTTTAATGGGAGGTGTGATTCCTGTCAAGCTCCCAGGGTCCTAGTGCCATAGCTTAGTGAACACTAAACATTTGTAGGGAATGGTGTGCACAGTGGGAGACCACAATCAACTGTTTTGAATTTAAGACATTAAAAACATTGAGACAATTTGGAAATTTAAATGTAAACCATTGTGATCTGCTAATAGCATGGAATTTGTGACAGAAGACTGAATGGTAATAATGTATTTGAAATACTTGAGCTTACCTCTTATGGATATTTTTGAGCAAATTGTACTTTTTATCTAGGTTATAGAAAAGATAAATTTGTTTGGATGGATTACTTGAAGGCCTGCAAATTGCAAAATGCTCCTAAGAAATTATTCAGGAACAGAAGTTCTGTAAGTATTTACTTCCTCAGCTTAAGTTAGAATTTCCCTTGAGCTTACATCTATTAAAATTTGCTCTATATTCTGTTATATTTTAATCCTTTAAGAAATTATGGAAACTCAACTTCCTGAAACTTTTCTCCCTTAATTTGTCTCCCTTTTTCTATGGACATCTGTTTTATTTTCTCTTTTAAAAGTACAATTAAAGACTTAAGTTAGCTGTGTAAAGTATTTAACGACAGCTAAAAGTAAAATGCCTTTCATAATTTTTTTTCCTTTTTACTTACAATGAGTTAATCTTTTTAAAGTTAGTTTTGGTATTTTGAAACCAGTAGGTACTTCAGGCAGACTTTGGATGTACCCAGCTTAGTTAAGTGTGAATAAAACAAGGGACCACCTCATGCAGACTCACGGTACTGTGAGCATCTGAGGAAAGAACACTCCCTCTGCCAGGGCGGTGCATAAGCCCGAGTCACCTGCAGATGATGTCACTGTGCAGGTCTCCTTCTTGACTTTCTGAGATTTTCTTTTTGATCTTAGAATTAATGTTACATGATTGTTGTATGTGTTTCATATAATTGTGGAAAGGAAA